TAAGCCAATATAAGATCATCCCCACTAAATTTGCGAGGGGAAGGCGTATAACTTGTATTGTGAAACACCCAGCTTTGGACAGGGAAATAAGATATTCTCACGTACTAAACATCCAATATGCTCCTGAAGTGTCGATAACTGGCTATAATAGGAATTGGCTTGTTGGACAAAAAAATGTTCAATTTAAGTGCAATGCTAATTCTAACCCGCCGCCTATAAAGTTTACCTGGGCCAGATTAGATGAACAATGGCCTAAAGGCTTACTGTCAATAGAAATCTTGAAGTTCATCTGAGCAGAGGCTTCATATTAGTTGTCACTCAGGGGACTGAGCTTTAGTTTATCAGATTTTCCCGAACACCTTTTGCTCAATGAGTAAAGCCACACTCACCTATGGTTTCTTCTTCCATTTGACTATGTGACTTCTTTCAATCCACTTCTTATGTTTGGATTAAAAACATTAGATTAGAAGGGGCTCTTTAAGGGAGGGGCAAGATCCGACAACCCACAGAGCCATTGGATCCATCTTATAGACACGTGGCTTCAGTGGCATTTGGCAATGGGAGCTTCTCTCCTGTCAGTAGGGAGAAGTGGCAGTGGCTGGGTTTTACACTTGCCCACCTCTGACCCAGCCCACAGTCCAAGTTGCCAACTGCTACTCTAAGGTCATTGAATCATCTTCTGTGTTTGCAGACAGACATTTATCCAGAGGTCCACAAGATCACCCACCAGGACCATTCACACACCATAGCCACGAAGACATATGAAGATAAACGCTACAATATGCTATAGGTAATGAGCAGGGGAGACCAGGGCACCAAAAATGCTCTGACAATGCAATGGTAGGGAATTGGTTAGGTCACGTGGCTAGATGACTCAAGACAGAGGACCATAATCCACGCTAGAAAACCAAAAAAAAAAAAAATGTGCCTATGATCCTTGCCAATCTGACTCTGCCAATGTTCCTTCCTGATCCCAAATCTGGCAATCAGTGTGACCATGATAAGGCTTCTTCAGCTACATAAGTAAGAGATTTAATTTCTAAGTACTGAAAAAGGAACGAGCACAAAATCCCACCTGTAGCTATGACCAATGTTCAGATCTCCACAGGAAGGCCAAAAAACAACCACAAAAGACCAAATAATCATTTGTAAAAATAATAACAATAACAACAACAAAACTTCCTGGCTCCTACATATGACTAACACATGGAGATCCAGTCACCTTTCAAACCTAACAACAGGATACAATTTTGAATCTACATAGAATAGGTACTATCCCCTTCATAAACTTGTTGAGCTCCAGCTTGAAACAATTCAGATTCCTTGCCTTCAAAACTTATTTCTTTTCAATCTAGTGCACCAGACATCCATTTTCACTTCATTCAATTCTCTCACGGAAATCAACAAAAAGTAACTCATGTCAATAGGGTACCTCCATCAGCTTATTTTATAAAATGTGCTTCGAGATACCTCCTCTTTGGTTCTCCTAGGGCAGGGGTGTCAAATTTGCCTTGTGCCCCAGGCTAAATCCAGACCATGGGGCTTTCTGTGGGCTGGATACAGCCCAAGGCAAGGGGAGGCTGTATTCCACTGCAATGCCACATGAGAAGCATGAGCTGCCCCTCCTGTTCTGCAACCCCCCCTTGCCGCTACCATCACACCAATAACCACCCCTGTGCCATTGCCGCATGAGCTGTGTGGGCTGCCTGAGCCACAACCACAGTGTGGGCTATTACCTTCCCCCACTACAGTTTCTGCATCAGCAGCATAACCTCCCTCCTCCTGCAGCATGAGACACTTGGTGTCACCACCATGTGGATGATCATCCTCCCCAATGCTGCCTGCCCGAGACCCCCAGTGGTAAAGCTCACCAGGCCTCCTGCTATGTTGTCCTGTCTCTTCTGTTAAACCTGTCCTAGTAGATGCTCAGTCACTATGACAGATGCCGGTACAAAACCCTGAGAAACAATTCTTGCATGTTGGTCCTACATGTAGAAAGCAAGGAGTTAGATCAGTATTCTGTTTAGCACTAAGAATGTGTGTGGATCTTGAAAAACATAAAGGATAATTGGGGTGGGGCTGATTTTCCCATTCCCACCAACTAGGACAATACTGCATAATGTCAATGGATTGCTGTTCTAGCTTCTTTTTATGCGTACTAAAGCAGGGGTGTCAAACACACAGCCTGCAGGTCGGACCTGGCCCAAGGAGCTGCCCTATCCAACCTACTGGACTACCAATGGGCCACTAGAAACTGGCAGGGGGGCATGGCTGGGGGGAGTGGCCACAGAACAGGTCCCGTGGACATGGTAATCAGTAGCAGAAGGGTGAGTGAGGGTTGACGCAACCCCAGTTGCCTTTCAGCCACATTGCCTGCTGTCACTACCATGGTTTTGCTTCCCCAGCCACCAGTCTCTGCTGTGCCTTGCGTTGGAGCCACAGCTACAGTTGCTGTCATGGCATGGGACACAGTGGCTGCAGATCCAGCTCCAGCATGGAGCACGTGGTAGAGGCTGGTGCCTCCCAAGGGTGTCCTGGATAGGAGCCAACGCTGCCACAACCATGTATTCCAGGTTGGAGGAACTGTGGCTACCACTTCCGCATGCCCGACAGGATTTGGCTTGCAAGGAGCCCTGCCGTGAGTCTGACATGCCTGTGCTAAAGTAATCTCATACCTTTACTCACCCTAGTCCTGTGTCTCTCTCATACAGACACTTCTGGCTAGCAGTGGTTCTGCAAGGACAAATAATCTAAATGGTAGTTTGTTACCTAAATCAAAGTTTAAATATGCAATTGCAGAAGTACAAGTATGCTAACCTACTAGATGCTTCATAGTCCAAGATTGGATAACTACTCTTAAACTGGTAAATAAACTAGATTCGAACTTCAGACCATTTTATTTTAATTGGCTTATCTGCTTTGTTTAAAAGCTGACATTTCTATTTACAAATATACAAATCACAAGTTAGACATAAAAACAGTGTTTATGTACATATATTAAATATACACATTCTCATTTCATGACAAATTACTTTTTTTAGTTAAATACTTTATCAGATCTACAATTTAACCCAAATTTTCTTAAATATTTTTAGTCTCTTGGAAGCTAAGTTTTCCCTCTTACTGAAGTCAACTTGATCAGTGAAATTCTTCAAGAACAAGTTAACTTGGGAGGAAGCACTTCACGTTACAGAAATTAAGCTTGTGTTGCAAGCACATGTAATTAGTAGCCAAGAAGTTGTATACAGCTTTGACTGCAAAAACATTTAATATAATTAAAGATGTGATGTTCAATTTACTATACTGCAATTTTCTTGTTTTATGTACATATATATATGCAGACACTCTACAGCTTGATATTCATGTCTTTGTATTCTAAATTATTTAAAAGACTAGTCAAATATTTTATAAAGGCGCACACATACATAATTCTAAATCAGAATCCTCAGACCTGAGCCTATATATGCAGTTATGTCAAAGATGACATCGGGGGGTCTCACTTTTTGTCGATGTACACTACTAGCAAAAAAAAAAAAAAAATGAATCAAAATTTCACTGATTTGGCCAATTTAAACAAAAATAAGCCAAACCAGTCCAATTTTAGTATAAAGTTGACTAGAAAATGCATTTTTTGCAATCGCATCTGAATTTAATAAATCAAAACTTTATCTTCTATGTAAAGATTATGCTTTGATATATTTTAAACATACATACTCAACAAGTAAAGCAAACAGCAGTCTAGATACATATATGGAAAGCTGTTTTATAATGGTCTAAGGCTCGTTCTTCGATCTTTTCCTATAAATGCTTAACTAGATGCACAAGTAATCTCAGTCAATGCAACAGGACTATTCATGATGCATAAAGTCAAGCATGTACATGAGTGTGAAACATCTGAGCCAGAGTCTAGTCCTGCAATAAATGGCTAATCCATAAAGTTTCCAATTCTGAAGATAACAAAAAATTGTCTGGTGGGAATATGAGCGTATGCTAAAATGGATATTACTGTATATTATTATTATAGATATGTTCAGGTTTTCATACAACTAGGAAATATGACATGAAAAATGAAAGGCTACGTTACTGAGAAGCTAATGAAAAATGAAAGGCTACATCCCTCTTATAAAAAACTTTGGAATTTACCCTTGGAAAAGCAAACAGTTAAACCATACAGTGGACAAAAGAAGAATACATTTTCAAGCTTGAAAATAAGTATATAAAAACTTTCATGTATTCAGACTACTTCTCTTTCGTCGCAATGGATAGCGTGCTAACTGTATTGCATCTGAGGGTCTCCTCCTTTTCAGCACAGAATTTTTCTTGGCAGCAGTCTCTGTTGGTGTGATCTCCACTTCTGTTATGAGGCTTTGGATTTTATTTTCTTCTTTAGCTTTACAACCAGCAAAAACTTCTTGTCGGAGCTTGCACAGTTCCAAGACTGGTTGCAAAGCTAGTGCTTGGGAAAATCCCTCTGCTCTTTCTATCAGTGCTGGGAGAGACTACAAACAAAAAGACACACAAACACGAAAGAAGCATGCGTCTCAAGTTACACAATAAAACCAATCATGGGTAGAACAGAACAATAATTAATTAATAACCATGACGTGTCCATAAGCTTTAACATTCTCCAACCTCAATACGAGCCTTTGAAATTATAGTTATGAATTAAAAAACACCAATCCACAGACCTTTAGTAGATCATGTAAGGAATTTCCATTGTAGGTTTAAAGACCAAACAAAACAACATTTGAATAGTTTATCAAGAAGAAGTAGTATGGCATTTCAAATTTCCATCAAGAAAATAAAATGTCATGGAGGCATTTTATAAGTACCAAACTTCCATAAATATTAGATTTTCAAAGACAAAAATGTATTGTAAATCACTACACTATGGACACAGACGCATTTGTTATAAGCTCTTCCTTGCAAGTCTTAAAAAGAAAAAAAAAGCTTAGAACCTTAAAAAAAAAATCAACCTTCTCTTTAGACTACTGCAGTTATCTCAGAGAGAGATAGTCACAAATCATTTAATGAGTACAGAAGGTAAATTTTTGTACAGAAAAGTAGTTATGACTAATAAATACTTCTACTTCATCAGGTTGTTTTTCAAAAAAAGAAATAGTATGTTGAAAGTAAAAGGTAACAAAAATTACAGCTAAAGACTGCCTTCTAGCTGGCACAGATCTTACCTTCATTGCTTCGCCAATTTGTTTTGATGTTACTCCTGTTACTTGTCTCAGATCTGCCATGCAATCAGCTGTAAAGAAGCATATACCATAATTGTATATTACTCCAAAAGCATGAAGAAAAAGAGGGCTTTTCTACCACTCAGAAGCGGAGGGTGGGAGAAGGGAAGGAAAGAGGACACTGAAACACCAAGGGTAATTAATTATAAAACCACTAAAATGATTGAACATACAGTAGGCCTTAGACATTCTGCGATTCTATACTTTCATAGAAAGGACTATTATGAAGTCAACTGCTCTGCAAGTTTAGTAAACTCAATAATTTGATAGATCATCTAGCAACCTAGGTTTTAAAATATGCATATCTTGGAATATGCAAATCCTTTCTCCAGGATTCCCAGTGGCTGGAGCATCAAAAAGCCTAGGGCAACAGATAAAGCCAGTATTAAATCACAGAATATTATACAACCCTTTTGCCTCAGTGTTTGAACAAGAATACAGTACCCCTATTCAAAGAGCTTCCACAAGCTAGTAACAATTTTTCTTCATTCAGGAAGAGAAAGAAACCCAAAAACATTTAAAAAAAACAAAAGAAAAATCCTCAGTCATCTAGTCAGACATCAGTTCCACTAGCAGTTAGTATATACATATATTTACAGAACTGTAATTGAACTGGTGTAAGATCTACAGCCACTTATACATGTGCCTGTTGCCTGGATACATTGGAGCACACACAGTTAACTAAGCCTGATGGGGCACGCTAATTAGCACGCTCCAGCAGCCTCAGCACATGTATTCATTGTCCCTGTGCTTCAAAATGGTGGCGGGGTTGCTTTAACTAAAACTCTTCAAACGAGCTTTAGTTAAAGCGTGGGACACTGAATACACAAGATGCTGCAGGTGCTTTAAATAGAGAGGCTCCCAAAAACTGCTCTAATTAAAGTGACCGCGACTCCAGAGCATGCGTAAAGATACCCTATGGCTCTAGGGTCTTTGGATGCTTGCAAGCAAAATGAGAAATATTTATTATTCACTACCCTTCTTACTCCTTGCTTTGTATCTTATCTTAAATTATTCTATGAGCAGTAAGGAAAATACATTCTCAGATTCTGTGATTGAAACCTCCTAAATATAACAAAATACCAGACAAGGATTTAGTAAGCAAAGATACTTTTTGAACCCAAATAATTAAAGGTACAGATGAACTCTCTAGAAAAATAGTTCTGATTTACCTATAGGACCTGACCTAACATTGCATACAGGTTGATCCAAACATATTGTGGTATCATCTTCTACATGGTCTCTAAACCCCTTGCCTTATTCCTACCAAACCTAGACTGCAGGTCCAGGATTCATTTACCAACTTTCAATTCTCAGCTGCAATGCAACATGCTAAGTTTTAAATGTTGCCATTAGTAGGCTTGTTAATCCTTCCTGTTGCAATAGCTCCTGTACGCAACAACTATACCAGGACAGGGAAAAATAAAGCAAGGTTCCAACCACAGCATACAAAGATGCTTGTGGATGGGAGAAAGGAAGGAGAGAAGACTGTTACAAATAAATACAAATACAAATAAAGCATTAAGATATGTTCATGAAGCTTGAAAGAACTTGTTGAACAGGTCAGAAAATGATAAACATAACTCTGAAAACGTTAGTGGTGAAAAATCAGTGAAGGTTTTACACAACCAGACTGGCAATACTCATCATTTGCATCTACAACTAACTGTTGCCAGCCAGCAAAACTCAAACAACAAATGCCTTACCAGAAAAGTTAAGAACTTGTTATACAAAATAGGAAGTTATTGGATCAATTTGGAAGAAAGGGAGAGAGGAGCTCAGAGAAGTGGTACCACAGATACAGGGAAAGCTTTCATCTTATACTGCTATAGAAGTTATAACAGGGTAAATGAAAGGGAGAACTATCCTGAAGGGACACTACCGGTAGAGACCTAATTTGGTGCTGTATCTAGGTCTCTGGCAGCACAATCCAGAAATGGCAAAGTATGCCAAGATAACATGATTACTCAGACTCTGGGAGGAAGATAATCATTGAACAGTGATCCCTCAAACTGAATAAGGATAGGTTGGTTATGAACAGATACTCTCCATGAACAGGACAACCTGTCTGTGATTGAGTGATGATAGCCTACAGTGACAAAAAACTGGGGAATGGAAAGCCTCCCCAGTTGTGAGGGAAAAGACAAAAGCAATTACTGGAGATGCCCGCAGGTAGTCAGAAAAATCTGCAAAATGCCACTTTAAATTATGCAGTATGAAGAGGATGAGCTTTACATGGAGAATATTACATTCCTGTGTTCTAGGCTTCCCAAAACATAGGGAAATGAAAAAAGGAAATGAAAGGTATTGAGTAATCTAAACATTTTTGGTTTCTGGCCACTGCACTTACTAAACTGGGACATATGAACTTTCCAGAGACTGAAAATACTAAAATTGAGCACAAACCATGTTCTTTTTTTGGTTAGTAATTTGCTACTATTTAATACTAAAGAATGATGCAGAACAGACTGCCTGTCTCTCAAACAGTTTGTCAATCCATGCTGAAAACCAGCCCCATTACTGAGAAACTCCCACAAAGTTCTTTAGTTCCTGCTGGCTCCTTTGCAACACGTGGGCATTTTTGGAAGCAGAGTCTCTTCTCAGTCACAAAGAGGAAATGCTGCCTAAAGTAAGTCAGACCACAAACCTGCAAATTGGAAGCTTCTAGCTACTCTTCAGTTCAGTCATACTTACATATTTTTATTTATTTAAACATTTTTGCATTTGTGAATGAGATAGCAAATTACAGCAAAGGCTTTGTAATCACAGTATTCTCAGCTCACTATATTCAAAACCCTTTCACAGAATCACAGAAAAGTAGGGCTGGAAGGGACCTCCAGAGGTCATCTAGTTCAGCACCCTGCTCGAGGCAGGATCATCTTCATCCAAACCATCCCATACAAGTCCTTGTCTAAGACAATGAAAGAATCCTCCAAGTTTTAGTCCCAATAAAAGCACTGGCACATGCCAGTCAAAATCCCTAGTCTTGGCTGCAGCCAACCCCCAGTGGTTCTGAGAAAGGTGAAAAGAAACCCTAATAGCTGTAGCAACAGGAGGGGAAAAGTTTCTTCCCAGCCACGTGGCAACAAGCAAAGCCCAGAAGCATGCGAAAATTGAACACTCTCCATTCTGCTCTGCAGCCTGGAGACAGCAAGCAAAACTTCACACATCACATCCTCTTATGGACAGCTAGAACTCTCCTTTCTGTATTCCCTCCATAAACCTTTCCTCAGCTGCTTTAATTTTCTTTCATAACTAAGCCTGTTGTTGAGCTCTGCTTTGTTCTCCTGCTGCTGAGTGTGGTCTTCTCCAATCTCCACCTGTTCTAGGCTGCAGAGCTCTTTTCATCATCTCCCAGTGATCTGTGTGTTGCGGAGGGAATTTTCCTGGGCTTCCAACTGTTGCTCTTTACTGAGCACTCTAGCCATACCTACTTCTCAACCATCCCTGATCAATGCTTATCCAACTTCTTGAACACCTCCAATGATGGAGGTTCCACAACTTCCCTACGCAGTCTATTCCACTGCCTCTCTTTTCTAACTGTGAAATTTTTCCTGACCACCAACCTAAACTAACTTTGCTGCAACTTCCATGGTATGCATCCTGTTTCTAAAGCAATGGAAGACACTGGGAAACTGCAAGATTATGGGAGCCGCCATGCAGCCCACTTCCGTCATGATTTTGATAGGTCCCTAATGATAAGTTTGACAACAGATAACACTTTCTGCTTTACTTGCTACAATTTTACATGCCACAGGTAGCACACTGATACTAATACTGTACGGTGCTTATTGTAATGTAAAAATTCAATATTATGGACATGAAATACTGAAGGATAACCATGTCTAAAAATGCATTCTTTGCTACTTTACTTCTTTTACAGATCAACCCAGCCCTGATTATTGCTGGGAATCAAATGATTGTGAAGCATTTCTAGGTCTCACAAAGCATAAATAATAAGCCAGACAGGAGTGATCCCTTTGTGGGCTGGATTTGGCTAATAGATGCAATCCAGTATCCAGGGCAGGTCCACACCCAGCGTAGCCCCTCCCAGATGTCCGGCAGGAGGCAGCTCAGTCTCGATCCAGCTGTGCAGGGAAAGGGGGCTTGGCCTGGCCCCAACCCAGCCCTGCAGGGAGGAAGGGTGAGGGGCGTGAAGGGGGCTGATCCATCCCTGACCCAGCCCTGTGTGGGAAGGGTCATGGCCCAACCCCATGGGAGGAATGGAGTGTGGGCAGCCTCAATCTGGCTGGGTGGAGAAGGGCATGAACCAGTTTCAACCTGGCCGGGCAGAGGGAAGGAGGCATGGTTTAGATCTGCAGGGGGGAGAAGGGGGCATGGGCCAATCCCAAACCATCTCCATAGGGAAGGGAGTGTGGCCCAGCCCCGATCTGGTGATGTCAGGGGAGGCTTGTGGCTCAGCCCTGACCTGTTGTTCAGGGCTTGGGATTTTGGCAGTGAGGAGGGGTGGTGGTATTAACTGCCACTGCTCCCCCCTCTGCCAAATTTCCCAACCCATGGGGAGCCTCACAGGCCAGATTCCAAGGCTCCATGGGCTGGAGGTTGAGCACTCCTGCCATAGTGGGTCAAGCCACAGTCTATCTCATTCATTATCTGTTTTCCAACAGTATAACTGAAGACAGAAACCTGCTTTGTGTAGTCATGAACCAATGTAACCTCAATTTATAGCTGATTTGGCCTTGAGTAAATATTAGCATGAAACTTCAGGAAAAGAGAAATGAATGTGTGCTAATAAAGAATGAGGATGCCTAGCTACCACAGGCACCTATCATTTTGGTCCAGTTACAGCCACAGTAAGCATATTTAAATAACTGAGTGCCAAAAAGTGTGAGAGGCAAGCATTTTCATGGGCGATATCATTCATTGGATCAACTACATGGGTGGGATAGACAGGTTTTGAAATGGAGTACTATAACATAATTGTTAACAGAACAAACTGATTGAGAGTCTCCACTCTGACAGTCACACTTGAAAGACAGTAATTTTATGGGACTTTAAAATTTTGCAGTTGACAATTCAACAAGGTAGTGTTTTTTCTATGCATCTGGACTGACTTGACAGATACTTACCTTGAGATGGCTCTGGTCTTATCTCTTGTGGCTTTACAACAGGCTTGTAGAGCTTCTGCATGCACAAAAATAAATGAAAAATTATTTCATTTTGGATTGTTTTTGCTTTAAGAATTGCCTTAATATCCATGTTTGCACAGTACTCAGCACAATGGAGAGCTACTATCAGGAGGACAGCAGCACAGTTATTAAGAGCAACCAATAGGTTTATAAAACATGTATTCAGTACTCTACATCTAATTTAGAGAACTGCTAGAAAAGGTAATATACTCAGCACATTTCTGGACTAATTGTATCTAGTCACGATATTGTCCTGTAGTTTGTCAAATTTAGCATGGCAGAAAAGAGGCTGTCCTGCTATAGTTTAGGCATTTTGGAAGACGCATTGCCATCTGCTGCATAATTTATGAAAGAGAATTGCATAGCAACTCCTGAGGAACCATTCACGAAGCCTAAACAAAGGGAACATTTATACAAAAAACTACTATTATGACCAGTGGTGTTTGTTCTTTTTCTGTCTTTACAGGTATTTGTGTATGAATGAGAAGAGTCTCTCTCACAACCCGGGCTCTCCTGTTCTTTGACCCTTGCCGTGAATCTTGTGACACAACATGAGTAAGTTGCTGCAGAGATGTATGTAACATTTCAGTGTTATGATTTCACTTCAAGGTCAAGTAAGGAGAAGTTATGAGGTAGAAGAGAAGCTTATTTCATTACCAGCAATCACCACCTACATCATGAACACTAGACACATACAAGGTAAAGGTGAACTCACGCATTTTTAAGCTGGGTACAAAAAGTATTTCTCCCACTGAAAGACTCTCCTCCAATCCTTCTTAAAATTGTGAACAAAAAGCAGTCACTATTGGAACAAAGTTCTAATGGCTGAAACATTTTTGTTAGCAAGTCTGGAAATATAGGAGGTGACAGTCCCAAGTGAGGGAAATGCAACAGGCACTGGTCTCAAGCATTCTTTGACATATTGATGAACAGACTCTCTGGGAGGCTGTTTCCTTTTCACAGCTGTAGGGAGACTGTACCATGACACTTATGTAAAACCTGTTTGGCTGTTCTTTGGGAGGAGTGTTGTTTTGGAAAATACTGCACGATTCTGCAGAAAAAAAACTAACATTCATTGTGCAAAAAATTTACAGCCTTACTGTATCTCCCAACAAAAATGTAACAGTAGATCACTGCAGGGTCCTATGGTCCTAAGACACCTCTATGAAGTATACTACTGTTTGACTACTATTAGACTATATGAAACAGTACATTTTGGGATGCAGTATTCTAGATTTTTTTAAAAAATATTTGTTTGCTTGCCCACTGTGAACTCCAAGACGTAATTTTGTATCTTAGAGATGTAACACAAGCTTCTAAAGCACTTTCTGAACAAATCCTTTCAGCAAATAACAACATCCTCATAACATTAAGCGATTTACCTTGGGGATCTACCCTCCAGAAAGGGTAAGAATGATTTAACACTGCAGGTTTCTTTACTGATGAGCTGAAGGACTGAAACCCTGCAGTGCAGACCTTAGCCAGAACTTCCATGGAAATCTAGGCTTGCCCCCTATTGCAAAAGATACACGTTGCAACTGAAAGTGTTTTTTTTCACATCTGTACAGCAAGCACTTAAACCATACATGCCAAGCCGTGTTTTCTAGATGCATGGTAACAAGTGAAAAAAAAATCATGCCCTGTCTAGTGATAAGTGTACAAACCTTGAGGTAGCTACAAGCAATTTCCTATACCTGGCTTGAGAAACATGTCCTGCACCCTTAGGCTGAGAATACTCTGAATAAAGTTATTTTTCTAAAGCCAAGGAAAAATGTACTAATTGGAAACAAAGTAGGAGTTAGAGTTAAGATTATATGCAGATCAAGTATGCACGGTCTGTGTGTAGATCAACATGCTCTTGGTAACTGAGACTTTCTGAGGAAGAGGAGGGTGGACAAGTCACCAGGTCAACCAGATGCATGAATGGAAAAAAGCTTACTTTTAGCTACTTAACAGGTAGGCCAAAAGGCTCCTCTGACCTAGGACTAATGCAGTGGTAAAATATATTTTAATGGGAGAGATTTAAAATTCATGGCATTAGATATAGCCAATTCCAGTAACTACCAAAATTATGCCCCAAATCAGAGGATTAATATCTCTATTGATTAAACCATATACCCTTGTTTCCCTGATTATCTGATGGTCATTATTCCACTTGCCTACTTGCATATTTTAAGTTAAACACCTGGATATTGAATACTATAGAAGGTGCTTACAAACTCTGTAACAGACCACCTGCTGGAGGAAATGAAGACTGTCTTGAGGAGCACAATGCAGCCAGTCACTGCTCCTCATAATTGCTGGTGACAAGTTGAATAAATGTGGCTCATGACTTGCTGTATGATTTATCAAGGAGCTGGTACTGTTAAAAATGTGATATTCGTGATGTAGTTGGAAGGTTTTATCTACAGAACTGCTGCTTTGGAACCATGAGGTTAGCAATTCCATTTCATGAAAGCCCTGACAACACCATGCCTGCTCAGGAAGAATTAAAGAGCTCTACACACACACATGCACATACACTCTCTCTCTCTCTCAACATTTTACACTTCTACAGCAGCTTTCTTCCAAAGATTTCAGAGGCCCTGTTTCAGTATTGTATATAAGCACATACTGAATTTTAAAGCATAGGGGTAACCATTGGAAGCATGTGCTTAAATAACCCAATGAACAGTACCACAGTGTTAATTCATTAAGACTTAGCACAATATAATGGGTATTTATCCTTGATTAACCGAAGGATATATCAATGCAGAGAGTTTGCTGATGCCACTAAGATGTGGGGTGAGGTAGGCACACTTGGAGAGAGAGAGAGAGGCTCACTTCGCCTCTCTCTCCCTTCAAGTTTGCTTCAAGCCTCTCTCTACCTTCAGTAGGAGTTGCAGAGAGAGAGGCTGCAACTAGATTTAGACAAATTACATAAGTGGGCAGATGGTAATAGGATGGGGTTCAACGTAGATAAATGCAGGGTGCTGCACCTTGGGAGAAGGAATCCACAGCATACATACAGGCTGGGGAGTTCCCCTCTTGAAAGCACAGAGGTGGAAAGGGATCTTGGAGTCATTATTGACTCCAAGATGAACATGAGCCACCAATGCCAGACTGCAGCCAGCAAGGCCAGCCATACCTTGTCATGCATCCAAAGATGCATCTCAAGCCGGTTCAGAGCAACATTGGTCAGGCCGCAATTGGAGTTCTGCGTCCAGTACTGGGTGCCGCACTTTAAAAAGGATGTGGCCAGCCTGGAGAGAATTCAGAGGAGGGCCACCTGTTTGGCGAGAGGGCAGCAGGACAGGCCCTATGAGGAGAGACTGAGGGACCTGAACCTGTTCAGCCTTGGCAAGAGAAGGCTGAGGGGGGACCTGGTGGCTGCTTACAAACTCATCAGGGGAGATCAAAAGCAAATAAGAAGAACCCTACTCTCCCCAGCACCACCTGGGGTGACGAGGAACAATGGTAATAAGCTGATGGAGAATAGGTTTAGCTACTATGAAACTATGAAATGGAAGCAGTTTACTCAGAGATGCCACAGAACCAGAAACAAAATTGGGAAAAACTTCAGACACAATGTCTCAGCCACTATGTTGACAGAATTCCTCTATTTTCTTTCAAACGCACATCTCGAGTCCAATTCAAATTATGCTTTTCATCAGAATTGTAAATTACTCACCAATATTTCTTGCTCTGCTTTCATGGTCTTGATGATATGTACCAGTATTTTTCTGGGGCATTGCTTACGCTTGCTAGCAGTCTCGACTATAAGTTCATCAAATTGATCTTCAAGGATTTTGATATCAGAACCTATATTCATAAGCACAATAAAGTGACAGTATGCAAAGTTATAGTGCCTTCTTGAAAAATACTAATATTTTTACAGGAAATAAAGCAAGACACCTTGCAAGTAAAAAGAGTTATATCTGCAATAAGTAGTCTGGTATAAATTATATCACCAATGAGTTAAATGGATAGCTTAAAACACAACTGTCATGCACTTCTTTTTGGTCATCCTTTCCTTGTAATAGCAGGTAATGATGCGTTTAAACTTAATATCTGTTGGCTAAAACCTGTAAAGCAATGCTAAGTCCTACAAGGGGTGCCTCACTTCCATTATGTTGGAAGTATAAAGTTGCTAGTGGTCCACATGCTTGGTGTTCAGAAACTACAGTACAGCATAAACAGAAAAGGTGGATTCATACACAGACATGATGCTGGGCTATACAAAAAGCACAGACTGTACAAAAGCTAGAATGTACTAAAACACTGAGGGTCAGCTTAATAATACAACTGCATGTGGATCGTTACTCAAAGAGACCAACAGCTTGGATCTCTTGCATCCTTCTCAGGCTAACTGACTTAAAAAAAAAAAAAAAAGAGTGATTTTTTTTGCTAAGAGTAGGTGTAAATACGGGATTGATATTTGTTTAACTTGTTTTGTACTTGTTTGGGGGTAGGGTTTTAAACATAGGTATCAATACAGCCCCTAATTATATGCTTTAGAAAATAAGCTACATTCATATAATAAAGTCTTTGCGTAACAAGAAAGTAGTTCTCCAAAACACCACCCTGCACCAAATACAGTTGATACTGGAGTAATAATTTGTAATAGGTGAATAAAGTTGTAATCAGAGCCCATGGAATTAATGGAACAATTCAACTAATTTCAGCAGGCAATGAATCTGGCCTTAAATCTGAAAAGTATTTTGCTATGGCTACTAAATCCCTTTGCTTTCATATGCTGTGGCAGCCTTTTCAGAAATGTATTCAGTCTGAAGTCACTCAAGTAAGGCCTTGCAATCCATATGAATCAACAGTTTTCTGTAACTATGCGGTGACTCTCACAATAAAAGACTAGGTATTTTTAAAGGCACTACCTTATTTCAGCAGTAATGGCTGATATTCTGTACCATTAAAAAAAATTCTGAGAAGGCAGCACACAATCCTGGCAATGAAGGATACAATATTAAATGAATGATACAATTTTAAATATTTTCCATTTGTGTACTTGTACATCACACACTTAATTCAAATGTTCTATTAAATATTATATTAAATATTCTATTAATATTAGCTCTCTAAAAGGTTCTTAATGCCATAAGAAAATACATATGGCAGTTTCTCACCTTTGTTAATTGAAGAGTCCTATGAAAAGTGTCTACAGTATTTATTATCCTATAGTCTGAGCATCTGCAATTTTGCAATTCAATCTGACAACTGTTTAAAACTGAAAACTTCAGATTGTTTAAGTAAAATGTTAAATACCTGCCCTTTATTACTCTCAGGTTACATCATCTACCATTAGACAACAGAAAACAGAAGTCAAAAGCCAGAAGCAAAGGGGAGTTAGGATAGCAGTTACAATGCTCAATCCAAAGTACACTTGGGTTCAAAGTCTTGACATATTTTAGATCTGCTTAGCATATTGCATAAAGGTGGATTTACAGCCCCATCTCCTGGTCAATCTTTGCAGCACCACCTCATCGTGACTTCTTAATGGGCAAAGTATTTTTATGGCAATCCTAGAAGGGGGTCTATATAATGTAGAGATATGAGAAGTTATTTCAAATATTTATCCAGGATTGTCAGTTTACACTTTTCCTTAATCCAATTTTTAAAAAATAAAATGTTTATTTAATGAAAAAATGTAAGTAAAAATATTACTATTTTTAAATTTTTCCTAGAGGTTAATTGGATTTTTAAATACATTATTAAAATATTTTTGAATTTCTGTTAGGACATAAGAAGTGAATCTTAATTTCCCTACCTTTCAAGCTACAGTTATAGCTACTGGAATATCAATTCTTGCATATAATTTATTAAACTCTAGAAGTGTGCTGAATTTTTTATACAACACTTGTTTAAACACCACAAGACATACATGGCTGGAAAAGAGGATTTTGTTTTGTTGAGTGCAGTAACTGTTGTTACACTCTAAACTTGTTTTCTTGATTAAAATAAACACATAATTTTTATGTTCATAAGTTATTTCTAAAGCACAAAGCGTTAAACCAGCCTGGGTGCCTTTCCATTACGCTGAAGTCTAAAACAGAGATGTACCATTTGAAGTATGCAAGGCAAAAAACCCAAGTAACTAGTATATACAACCAAATCATATAGTTTCCACTGAATGCTAAAGGTTACTAAAGGCCCCTTAGGCATCTCTGATTTAGTTAATCTATAAGGTGCATCTTTACCTTGTTTTCTGCCGAAGGCCCCTATAATTACACATTCAGTTTACAGCCCTTGCAAAGACAATCTATTACTGTTTCTTTTTCTATTGCTACCCTTAAGAGCTAACACAGGCTGGATGCTACAATTTATAAAACTGAAAACCTTCTGGAAGGCATAACACAAATTACCTGCGTAGTCTCTCCAAGTGCCACTCCAATCCCTATCCTTTAACCCCATCTGCTATTCTGCTTTCTGTTTCCTTCCCTGTGGACCCTGCCCTATCCATCACTGTGTTGCCTATTCCATCCTCCATCTTCCATATGCCACACACAGAAGCTGCCAATGCCACTTATGGCACTCGTGCTGCAGGAGGCCATCCCCGATCCAGAAGACATGTGAGAAGGGAGTTTACTTGGTAATATCTTTTACTGAAACAAATGTCTTGCTAACAGATAAATTAGACAAGCTTTGGGGCACAAACGTCCTTCCTCAGATCTATGAAAGAAGCAAACAGACTAAGGCAAGGGTTAGCAACATTTTCTGGCAAAAGACTGGTATGACCTAGCTCAGATACGAGACAAGCAGGCACTAGGACCTTTCCTGCTTCCCCCTGCCATCTGGCTTTGGTGCAGCATGGACAGAGCCACCCACAGATTTGGCCCATGGGCCACAGGTTGATGACCGACCCCTTGTCTAAGACATATAGCAGGTAAAACCATTACTTTTGTTTAACCTAATTATGTTAATTGAAGTGATCGCTAAACCTGAGGAACAAAAAAAGATATCAGAAGCAGTAACTTGGTAGAGACCAAGTAAGAAGCAGCTGACAGATGCATAATATATAGATAAATAGTAGGGCCGTGCAAAGCTTCAGTCCCTGATTTAATTTGGTAGAGATTTGACCCGATTTGGTGGCTGAATCTCTGAATCTGAATCGAATCAGAAGACCCTTTAATCAATTCAGAGAGATTTGGCGATTTGGAAATAGACACAGCTTTAAATGTTTTTTCTATATACCTCAAGATACCAGGCAGCTCGTGAATGCCGCAATGGTGGGGCGGATGGAGCATTCTACCGGGGGGGGGCGGGCACGCGGACGACGACGGGACGGGACACGGGACTCCCCAGTGCGCTTGGCAGCAGAGCTGTAAGTGGACCAGACACATATCTGATCCAGCTGTTGCTCCAGCTGGTCTGGGGCCTGTGTTGCATGAGACACAGATGCAGATCCCGCAGCAGCCAGAATGGACTATACCATGTGTGTTGCCTGCCCCAGCAGCTGTGGGACTGGCTCGTTTGGTCACCAGATCAGGTGTGATGGGGTATGAAGAGAGGGTCTGGTATGCCCAATCCAGCCTGCAGGCTGGTTCTACACCAGGAGTATGCACCAGGCCCCTTGTGGGTCTGATCAGACCAAGGGGCAGCACTGGAAGCCAGATGGCAGGGCTCTGCAGGCTGAATCTGGCCCATGGGCCATTTATTTGACACCCCTGATATATATGAAGTCTACTAGTAAGTCAGTGAAGTTACTGAAGATGGATATTAGTTTGCCAGGGTTTTCTTGTTTGTGTACCTTGGAGAACATGTAAAGAGTTCCTGGGGCAAAAGCAAAGGAGGTTAAGTTTGTGCTTTTTTTTTTCTTGGAGTTGATAAGAAAATGATTTGATAATGTCTGTGTTCAAAGATTAATATTGTTTTGGGGTCTTCTCTGAGTTTCTTATAATTGCTGGGGGTTAGAGAGCTGTCTGTCTGCCTTGTTAATGAAGCCTTTGATGTTGAGAAGGACTACAGACTCTCCTTGATCTGTTGGTTTGATCACTGTTTTGTTTGTTGGATCTTCAAATAAGAACTATTTGGTTTTTCTCTCCAAAGGGGAGAGGTTGTCTTGATAGTTGTAATGGCTGAGGATTGCACTGTTAAATTTCTTCCTAAAGGGAGGGCCAGTCAGATTTGTTTTTGTTATTTTTGTGGGTTTCCATGGAAAGGTGGCTTTGTCTTGTCTGTTGTAGAAAGTTTATGCTCAGAAGCTTGCCTAACGTCTCCCAGTTACTCCAGTAAAAGATATTCCCAAATAAATTTTGTTTAGCCTATATTTTTAGAAAGTCTGAATGGAAGTGAAACAAGTCATTTGCATATGACTTTTCCCCTAGACTAAGATAAGGTTATTTTTAAGATGCTGTACCCTTCCTTTTGTTATGAACCCTTCTACAAGATAATTTTCATAAACGCTGTTTATGTAAAGAAGTTTAAAATATGTATTAAATTATATATGTATCACCTACTTAAGGAATTTTAAAGTCACCTATCTCCTTGGTAACCAAACCTCAGATCCTCAAAAGGTATTTAAATGCCAAACTCTGTTCATTGATTCAATTGAATTACTGATTTCAATGGGAGTTAGGCATTTAGAGAGAAACACAAATGGTTCTGAAAATATGCCTTTCCTCCTGTCTCCTCCTCCCATTTATTCCTGGGTTATGTATTCAAATTACATTCTCTTTGAATTTAATTCTCAAGACTATTTGTGGAGAAATACTGTACTGCAAGGGTGAATCTAATTTCTCAATCAGACATGTGCAGACTTGGACTCAGTGTTATTTTTTCCCCCTGATAACACTTATCTATTAGTTTCAACAAAAGGAAGATTTACTGCCTTAACAGTAAGGTAAATGCTTAGCATAAAATGAAGATATAAGATAAACTAAACACACACCACTTTGAAGCTCATCTTCATCTGAAGTTTCCTGCCAGGGCTCTCCATTAATAGTAATATTTTCCTGAACAGCCGTTTCAAAATTCTGTAAGAAATGAATAGCTATCAAAATGCTTGAAGTTACACTGGTGAGCGTATCAGCACTGACAGAAGGTAAGTACCCTGTAACCTGTTCCCACTTCCTAGAAAACTGCTGAAGTCCTGTCCCAACTTGACAACAGTAGATACTTGGTAATCATAGAGTCATAGAAAATGAGGGTTGGAAGGGACCCCAGGAGGTCATCTAGTCCAACCCCCTGCTCAAAGCAGGACTGTTCCCAACTATGTCACCCCAGCTAAGGCACTGTCTACCTAGGTCTTAAAAACCTCCAAGGATAGAGATTCGACCAGCTCTCTGGGTAACCTGTTGCAGTGCTTTACTACCTTCCTAGTGAGAAAGTTCTTCCTAATATCTAACCTAAACTTCTCTTGGTGCAACTTGAGACCATTGTTCCTTGTTGTCATCTGCCACCACTGAGAATAGTTTAGCTCCATCTTTGTTGCAACCCCCTTTCGGGCAGTTGAAGGCTGCTATTAAATATCCCGCCCCCCCCGCTTCTCTTCTCCAGACTACATAAGCCCAGTTCCCTCCACTTCTCCTCACAATAAGTCATGCGCCCCAGCCTCCTCGTCATTTTCACTGCTCTCTGCTGGACTCTTAATTTTTCTGCATCCTTTTTGTAGTGGGGGGCCCAAAACTGGACATGGTACTCCAGAGGTACCCTCACCAGTGCTGAATAAAGGTGAATAACACTTCCCTTGGCCTGCTGCAATGCTTCTACTAATGATGTAATGAGAGGCCACAGAACAACATGCACTTAACCCCACTGAGGCTCCTCTACACATTCAGGTAAAAGCATAACTGGATTTAATGAGTGAGCCACACAGTCACACCTCCTGCCATACATGCACAAGGCAGGAGGTGTGATTGTGGGATCATGCATTAGATCCAACTGTGCCTTGTTGGTGCAGGGGGAGCCTGAATCTGGGCTCCCCCTGCACTGGCAAGAAGCAGGCTTCCACAGCTTTGCTGAGAGGGATCCCAGCCACGGGGGCCATGTGGAGCCGGGACCTAGAGCCCCACACCTCATAGGGCTCCCATTCCCTGCTGCACCTCACATGCAGCCAGGACCAAGAGTCCTTCAATTAATGGGTGCCTTAACTGAGAGCCTTGTGTGGACCTGGGGATTTCACACACACACACAACCCTTGGGGATCAGGTACACTCCCCAGGGCTCAGGGGTTTCATGCTGGGCAAGGTACACCTTGTGGCTGGGAGTCCTGTCAGCTGACAGGACTCCTAGCCACAGGGGAGATCCTGCTGCACGTGCAAATTAAAGTTCAACAGCAACCAGTTAGAAAGTTAGTACACATTTTTGAGGTCTAACTTTACAGCTGGTTGGAGCTTTTTATTGTGATAGCTGCTTTGCGTGTGCAACAGGTCCTAACATGACCATAAAAGGTAGAGGGGGCATGACATTTTGTTTGATACTTTCAACAGGAAGTCCTGTTTTCAGACTATTATAATTTTGCAACGTGAAATGTTTGGGCTGAATTATCTGTGTCAGTCTATTTTTTGGAAAACATCTGCTACTGTAGTTCAGATGTTTCAAACAAACAAACACGAATCTTACAGCTGTGTTTTTAAGATGCTTTAGTTCCTCCATTCTTTGGAAGAGGGATTTGATATTTGGTAGGGGTAGCCAAGAGGACAGGGGGGGGAAAATCATGCAAATTCAATGAGTATGTTTGTGAAATCTTAGATAGAGCCCTGCATATACATTACAATCCTTAGTCACATGATCAAATGCTATTTACCCCTCTCTCCCTGAAGAGGGATTAATGACAGTAAAAGTTTTCAATGATTTTTTTTTTATTGTCACCATTTGGTGTGTGACCCCTGGCATCATGTATAGCACACCGCCAATGCCTGCCTTCAGCCTAGAACAGCAGTTCTCAACCTTTTTTTAGACTCAAGGTATCCCTTCTCAAAGCACCCTTTGGGAAATATTAGCTCTTAAAATTTCCACTTGTTGGGAGGGCGTCTTTCCCAGGTCTTTGCAACAAGAAAACACACTGCTCTGTAGGCAAATAAATAAATAAATACATACATACATACATAAAAAACCCAACAAATAAATTAATAAATACATCACAAAATTTAAAAACAAACAAAAGAATCAACTAGAAAAATAACGTAAGGACATAAAAACAATTAACGTAAAACAAATACGAAAAGAAACGCATTTTTAAAAATATTATAAAATAAAAAGTATACCAACACAACCCCCTCAGCACCCCTAAAACCAACCCCCTCCCCAAAAAAACCCCAAAACCATCCCCACAAAAAACAAACAGGAACAAAACATGGAAAAAAACAAAGAACAAACCAAGGACCCCCCTCAAAAAGAAACAACTCCCCCCAAAAGAAACAAAAAGTCCACAAAAAACGCAAACGCAAAAACACACAAAAACTAAGAAATAAAATAGAATCAGGAAAACAATGCACCCGTGCCAGTAAAACATAAGAGCCAAACACGAAATCCAATAAAAACAGGCGGAAAAGGTCAAGAATTAAGGAGTAACAAGTAGACGACAAGACACACAGAGCGCCGCCGCGCAGACAGCCCGCGCGCCCAGAGCGCCGCAACGGCCCCACCGCCCGCCCGCCCGGGCCCGGCCCT